TCCTTCCTGTTTCCCGTTAAGCACATGGAAGCTCTGACCTCGCCTGCGAGGTGGGCACCGTGGGCCGGTAGGAAGAAAACGGGGCAGGGCCCTCCCCTCTCCTCCCACCCGAGCCACAGGACGCGTCCAGGCCGGGGCAACCCCGCGGACCGCTGCCAGGGTGGAGGCTCTCGCGCCAATGGTCACCAGGCTCCTCCACTCTCCAACAAAGGGGCGCCCGCGGCTCGGCCCCGTCGCCCGCAGCCCCCGCGTCCCCACCTCCCGCCCTACCTGTTGCCCAGGAGGGCTCCTCCGGCTCGGGGCGGCGCTACCGCGGACTCCGCGGCGCCAGGCCCGCCGGCCCCGGCCGCTCCCTTGAGGCGCTGCGCCCGCCCTCCCCGGCCGCCGCCATGAGCGCCCGCAGCGACCCCGCCAGCGCCGCCCCCCGCCCCGGCCCCGCGGCCTCCCCAGCCCGGCCCCTCCGCCGCCCTGCGACAAAGCGGCCTCCGGGGCTCCCAACTTTTCCGCAGCCCCTTCCCACCCCCGCGCGGGGATCGGGCGCCGGGCGGGGGCCCCGACTCACTCGGCTGCAGATCCGGCGGGGCCGGGGCCGCTGCTCCGTGTGATCCGTCTGCTCGGGTGGCTGCTCCGAGGCCCCGAGGCCTGGCTCCCCGCGCCTCTCCTCCCTCTTCCGCCCGCCCGCCGGCCCGCGCCCGCCCTCGCCCTCCCTCCTCCGCCCGCCGCCGCCGCCGCCGCCGCCGCCGCCGCCGCCCGCCGAGCCCAGTCGAGCTGAGCCCGAGCCCAGCCGGGAAAGAAAGGCCGCGAGCAGCCCAGGGGCCGGGAGGCTGGGCGTGGACGGGAGGCGAGGGCGGGGCGGGCCGTTGCGCTGCGGCTGCCCTCCGCCCCGGCGCGGGAGCCGGGACCCCAGCCCTCCGCTCCCGGGCCCGCAGCCACGCCCACGCCCGTCACCGTGCGCTAGAGAAGCCCCCGACGTGGGGAGGCGGGTGCGGGCTCCTCCGGCCGCTTCGGTCTGTTTTCGGGGTGGGAGGTTTCCCACCCGGACCGACACAGACGCACTGGATGCTGCGGGGTCCCGGGCTCCGAGCGGCGGCGTCCCTGCCCCCTCACTCCTACCCACCCCCACCCACCCTCAACTGCTGTGCGGCCCTGGGTCCCCGACGGAGTGGGCACATTCCCACTTCCAGCCCCACGGGGCGCGGGCGGAGGAGGGCGCAGCCCGGGGGTCCTGCCCAAGTGCCTCGCGCCGAAGCTTTAAACCTCTCCAGGGCAGACCGAAGCAGCCGAGCCTCCAGACCCAGTCAGAGCCTGCGACCCCTCGGGCGACCCTCCCCTACCCCGCCGTAAAAGCCGCGGACTTTCCACCCAGGTGCTACGGGACCTACCCCGGTGGCAAGGAAGAGCAAACCCAAACGTGCGCACACCCGAGGGCCCTGTCTCAAAGAGCCACCCCAACTTTTGTTTAGTAAAATGTATTTGAGTTTTCAAATGACACCATGTTTATCTGTATTCGATTTCGTGTTAAAAAGGGTTTCCCGGACGGGCGTGGTGGCTCACGCCTGTGATCTCAGCACTTTGGGAGGCTGAGGCGGGCAGATCATCTGAGGTCAGGCGTTCGAGACCAGCCTGGCCAACATGGTGAAACCCCGTCTCTACTAAAAATACAAAAATTAGCTGGGCACGGTGGCACGCGCTTGTAATCCCAGTTACTCGGGAGGCTGAGGCATGAGAATCGCTTGAACCCTGGAGGTAGAGTTTGCAGTGCGCCGAAATATCGCTGCTGCACTCCAGCCTGGGCGACAGAGCAAGACTCCGTCTCAGGAAAAATAAAAATAAAAAGTGTTGTGCCCTTGGCCTGGCGCGGTGGCTCATGCCTGTAATCCCAGCACCTGGGGAGGCCGAAGCAGGCAGATCACTTGAGGTCAGGAGTTCAAGACCAGCCTGATTAATACAGCAAGACCCCCATCTCCTTTATAAACTAAAAAAAAAAAAAAGTTTTCCCCGTGAGTCGTGTGGTAAAATTACTGTTTCGGAAGTAATTACTGTTGGAAGGTGCAACATGTTTTTCCTAGAAAGCTGGTCTTAACTCCTAACGGGAACGAATGATGACTAAGATGTATTTGAGGGCTCCTATACAGGGAGAGCTGCAGCTTACTCCATGGAGAGGTACTTTTGTCAAATTTCTAACCTAGATGAAGTGTTGCCTTTTTTACGCTGTCGCCATCAGAGCCTCTGACACTAGCTTGTTTCCCGTTTATCTGGTCCAGGCCTGGTAGGAAGGAGTGCAACCCCCACTAATCCTGTTGGAGGGCCCATCCCTCATCTCAGGCCCTTTCTGGAGGGTAAGGAGGCTGTCCGACCCGCTTGTTCTGCCTCTCTTTTCACGGGGATGCGCAGCCCAGGCACACCATGGGAAAGATGGGAGTGGTGGCCCCTAACCAGCTCCGAGGGCTTCTCCAGGCTTTTCTTTTTTTTTTTTTTTTTGAGACGGAGTCTCGCTCCGTCGCCAGGCTGGAGTGCAGTGGCGCAATCTCGGCTCACTGCAAGCTCCGCCTCCCGGGTTCACGCCGTTCTCCTGCCTCAGCCTCCTGAATAGCTGGGACTACAGGCGCCGGCCACCGCGCCCGGCTAATTTTTTGTATTTTTAGTAGAGACGGGTTTTCACTGTGGTCTCGTTCTCCTGACCTTGTGATCTGCCCGCCTCGGCCTCCCAAAGTGCTGAGATTACTGGCGTGAGCCACCGCACCCGGCCTTCTCCAGGCTTTTCTAAGCCCCAGGCCTGCCTGATTTCCCAGTTTCCAGCAACCCCTCCAGCCACGTTTTCTCCTCCCTCCCTTATTAGCATATCTTCCATTGTATCTTTCTTTCCTTTCTTTTTTTTTTCCTTTGGAGATGAGGTCTCACTCTGTCACTGCAGCCTGGACCTTCCAGGCTCAAGCTGCCCTCCACCTCAGCCTCCCAAGTAGCAGGGTGACCACAGGCAGCACCACCACACCCGGCTAGTTTTTGTATTTTTGGTAGAGACACGAGATTTCACCCTGTCACTCACACTAGTTGTGAACTCCTGAGCTCAAGCCATCCACCCTCCTTGGCCTTTCAAAGTGCTGGGATTTCAGGCGTGAGCCACCTTGCATCCCAATTGTCTCTTTCTACCCCATTGGAACTCTCCTCCTTCATTCTTCTAATTCCAAAGTTCCCTCTTCCTTTCTTCAGTGCTCTCCCCAGAATCCTTATCTGCTACCTACACACCTTTTTTCCAGCACAGTTCCAGGGCTCTTTGGGCCGCAGCTCACCTTCTGGTCTCTCTCTAACACTCTCCACACCTCCGTCCTACTCATCTTCCTTCTTTTAGTTCTGAATCCCTCTCTTGTGGTTTTCCTAAGTGCCAGGCTTTCCTGTAGTCCCCACCAGACTTTTTAAATGCTTCCTCAGGAGAACTGAAGACTGGTTAACTTTTTTTTTTTTTTTTTAAGATAGCAGTGGGGAGGGGAAGTTCTGGGGCCAAAGTTGGATAACCAGGGCCTGAGAAATAAAGATAAGAGGGTATATTCCTCCCCCAGGAGACAAAGGAGAAGGTGGATGGAGAAGGGGAAACTGGGCCTCAGCCAGCACTGGGATGATGCGACCAGCTCTGTCAACATGCCTGAAGAGCACACACACCGCTTGCCGTGGCTGGACCGGAGACTGTGATCACCACCCTTCCAACCCATCCCCCAGCACGCAGGCTGGCATGGCCACGCCCACAGTGCCCCAAGTGCCGCCTGCCTTGCAGTGACTCACTTCCTCTGTATGGGCTGCTGAGGTGTCCCAAGGAGAGGACAGGCCATCTCCAGGCCTTCAGTCCATAGTTTAGATATCTGGCCTGGCTTTGTGGATAGGCAAGCATACATGGATCCCAAATGTGGAAGGTGGGTTTTTTCAGGTCAGGTGGAACTGTAAACACTGAAGCCTATTTGAGTAAGAAGCAGACCCTAGCTAGTACCTAATGGAGATTCAGGGGCCAGGAGTTTCAGGGAGGAAACATTTCCTAACAAGAGGTAAAATAGCCAAGAGGAGTTTCTATGTATTCTGAAGTCAGGCAATGGAAAGTATTTGCAGAAAAGCAATGTAGGGACCAGGCCCGGTGGCTCACGCCTGTAATCCCATCACTTTGGGAGGCCGAGGTGGGTGGATCACCTGCAGTCAGGAGTTCAAGACCAGCCTGCCCAACATGGTGAAACCTCATCTCTACTAAAAATGCAAAATTTAGCTAGGCATGGTGGCACATGCCTGTCTGTAGTCCCAGCTACTTGGGAGGCTGAGGCAGGAGAATTGCTTGAACCTAGGAGGGGGAGGTTTGTTGCAGTGAATCGAGATCATGCCACTGCCCTCCAGCCTGGGTAGCAGAGCAAGACTCCGTCTCAAAAATAAATAAATAAAAGGCTGGGTACGGTGGCTCATGCCTATAATCCCAGTGCTTTGGGAGGCCAAGGTGGGTGGATCACCTGAGGTCAGGAATTTGGGACCAGCCCAGCCAACATAGTAAAACCTCATCTCTATTAAAAATACAAAAATTATCTGGGCATGGTGGTGCATGCCTGTAATCCCAGCTACTCGGGAGGCTGAGGCAGGAGAATTGCTTGAACCGGGGAGCTGGAGGTTGCAATGAGCCGAGATCACACCACTACACTCCAGCCTGGGCCACAGAGTGAGACTCCGCCTCAAAAAAAAAAAAAAAAAAAAGAAAAGAAAAAGAAAAGAAAAGGTGGTAGATTAGATCCTCTCTAAGATTTTCTCCAACTCTGCAATTCTAAAATGTACAACATGAAGATGGAAGGTGATCAGTACATCTGTAAACAACTGCAGTCCGGCCCTGAAGTTGAACAAAACAAAACCTAGGGAGAGGAATGAGATTGCAGCAGGTTTCAGCGCAGTGATTGTGAACGCATCACACACACACTCCTCACAGGCAAGGACTTCGCTTCTGCCATGTGACTGAGCCTCTGTTGGCCTTCATATTCAGAGTTCAACCTGGCAGGCTGGCCAGGAGTCCCTTGGAGAGGTTTGGCGTGAGGAAACAGGAGGCCTCACGATTCCTTCAGTTCCCTCTAAGACTGCTGGGCAGGTAGCCAGAAGAAACTCTGAAGTGTACAGAAAGCCGATGGCCAGGGGGACCCCAGCTGCGAAGCTGCAGTACCATGTTTACCCAGCCTAACTGCGGTCACCCAGTCTCCTGCATGTGTCCGAGGTCAGCCTCGGCGGCTCCCCTGAGTAGGTATCTACCTGAGGCTCTTCCTCTGATGCTACCTGCATACCAAGTCCACCCAGGAACCTGGCGTCCTCTGGAGGCTGCACTTCCCAAGTGGGCTAAGACAGGCCCTTGATCTGTTGGGCTGGAGCCAGAGACCTCAAGGGGCCACTAGGGGACTCGAGACGCTCAGTGGTTGCTGGCGCCCTCTTGTGGCCATTTTGGGGATTGGCAAGAAAAGTTTCGGAAGCGAGCCAAGATCGGAATTCTTGGGGAGGTAAGTAATAACAACAGTAACAGTTACCATATAAGAATACTTATTGTTATATATTAGATAACATTGTGACATGTGTACTTAACGGCGCTGTGCCCAGAAGAACTCTTCTAAGTACTTTGTATGCACTGTATTTATTTAATTCTCACAACAACCTATAACATAAACACTGTTATGTGTTTGTTGATGATTAGGAAACTGAGCACAGAATAGTTGTCCAAGGCCACACAGAAGACCAGAATCCCAACTCTAAGAAGTCTGGCTCCAGAAGCTTTGCTTTTAGCCACCATGCTGAGACTGAGTTCCATTTTGGGGTTGTCAGGTGAAATACAGAACACACTGTTAAAACTATAATTTCAGATAAACAAAAAATAATAATTACAGGCTGTGGCTCACACCTGTAATCCCAGCACTTGGGGAGGCCAAGGCGGGCGGATCACGAGGTCAGGAGTTCGAGACCAGCCTGGCCAACATGGTGAAACCCTATCTCTACTAAAAATACAAAAAATTAGCCGGGCGTGATGGCAGGCGCCTATAATCCCAGCTACTCGGGAGGTGGAGGCAGGAGAATTGCTTGAACCCGAGAGGCAGACATTGTAGTGAGCCAAGATCATGCCACTGCACTCCAGCCTGGGCAACAGAGAGAGACTCCGCCTCAAAAAACCAAAATGTTAGTATATTTAATGAAATATTTGAGTCATACTTGTACCGATAAATGATTCCTCATTTATGTGAAATTCTAATTAAGCTGCATGTCCCGTATTTTTATTTATTTAATCTAACACCCCTACTTTACAAGGGCACTTTTCTCTGCCACATGCAATTACACAGATTACCTTTTTTTTTTTTTTTTAGATGGAGTCTCGCTCTGTCGCCCAGGCTGGAGTGCAGTGGTGCGATCTCAGCTCACTGCAAACTCCGCCTCACAGGTTCAAGCGATTCTCCTGCCTCAGCCTCCCGAGTAGCTGGGACTACAGGTTCGCGCCACCATGCCTGGCTAATTTTTTGTATCTTTAGTAGAGAGGGGGTTTCACTTTGTTAGCCAGGCTGGTCTCAATCTCCTGACCTCGTGATCCACCTGCCTCGGCCTCCCAAAGTGCTGGGATTACAGGCGTGAGCCACCGTTGCCCGGCCACATTACATTATTTATTTATTTATTTACTTTTATTAGTTCAATAGTTTTTGGGGACGAGGTGGTGTTTGGTTACATGTTTAAGTTCTTTAGTGGACACATTACTTCATTTAATGATCCCAGGAAACCTGTCCTCGGAGGCCCCAGCATGCCCCACAGCCTCCGTCTCTCGCAATCCTCCCATTTAGAGAGCTGAAAGGACTAGCGAAGCTCACAGAACATAGGTGGCAGAGCCGGGTATTGAACCCTCATGCTCCAATTCTGACACAGGTGCATGTTTTCCACTTTAACAGGAGAGAAAAGTGAGGAGCAGTGATTACCACCACAGAAATATCCCTTCATGCCGTGTCCTCCGGCCTGATCTCGTCAGGGTGGTGGAGCCACTGCAGGTCCCTCCTCCGGGTATGTAGGAATCCCAGTGAAGGCCTTCCTGGGTTGGGAGAGAGGCAGAGGAGTGGAGGCAGGGCTCTAGCTTCAGTGCCCTGCCCCTACCCAGGCTCTCCGGGGAGGCAGGAAAGAGGTTGTATTTAGACCCGAGGGACCCAGCTGTGAGGCTGGAGCAGCTGCTGCATGGTGGGGCGGGGCGGGGGCTCCGCAGGGCTGCTCACCTGCTGCTCTGTGCAGGGACAGCCTCAAGCCCAGCTGCTGGATTGCATCACCTGCAGCTAAAACAGCCACGGGGCCCAGGCTGCCAAAAGGCAACAGAAGGAGTCTAAGAAACCAGGCGAGGGAGCCTCCCCGATCTCTCTGTTGCCTTCTGGGAGCATAGAGCTTCCCTCTGAAGGTAACACCCTTTGCATTTTTCTCTCTTGACTCTTCATCAGCTTCCACCCCCAAATACTTGTGCCCTTCCTTCTCCACAGATATAAACAGTCCCTGGGCACTCTCCACCTAGGCCAGCTGGCTCTCATAAAGCAGCAGTCAAGGGAGTTTCTGGGCTGGGACCCCCTCTGGGGTGCAGGCTGGGGTGCCCTGCTGGTATGTGCCCCAACAGGTTTTTCCCTATCAGCCTTGAAATCAGCCTGCAGCCTGTCTGACCTGCCCCCCAGGGAGCTGGAGCCAGAGGCAGAGCCAGGTCAGAAGCTGGACTTTGAGACTAGGCCTCTGTGGTCCCACCTGGACCCACAGGGGAGGCAGTGCATAAAGCCTCCTGTGTTTGAGGCTGGGCTGCTGAGAGGCTGAGTGGAGTTCACTCACATGGGATGAGGCCCAGTTCCTAGGAGAAGAGATGCTGGGCAGGAAGGTGTCTGCATGTGGGACTCTGTACAGCCCGGTCCTCTCCCAAGTCTGGGAGGGGCCAGAGTCAGACAACTGCTGGGTTGGTCCCTAAGAGAGGTCATCTGACTGGCTGTTCAGCCTAGGCTGCATCCCCGCCCCCTTTCCTCTACCAGGCCACACCAGAGCCGGTGCTCACACAGGCGAGCTACCAGGCCACAAGGACGACACCCACCCTGCCTCTGCACCTCTGAGTAAGTACTGGGCCTTCGGCCCCATGCCGGGAGAACTTGTTGATTGCTTGGGGGAGGGAGAAATGAGTTTTCCTTTTCCAACATGAGAGTGCCTCCTTTCCTGTCCAGGCATCCATGTCCTTGCGAGAACCCTTGCTCACATCAGCTAAGAGATTGCACCTGCTGACCTAGAGATTCCCACCTGTGGCTCCTAGGGTGAGAGGCAGCCGAGCAGGTAGGCAGCTGTATAGGCGGGAATTGAGGGATTGAGGGTTGCTTGTCAGTTGGGGCTGCAGGTGGGGGAGATGCTGTTTGGAGTTGTCTCCCACTCTGCGTGCTTAATCCTGCCACCTCACCTCAGCTCCCCTGCACTGCCCCAGGAGACCCCAGCCAGGCCCCGGAAGGGGGGCCATAGACCTCAGAAGGGGGGCATCTACCCGGGACCAAGGCCTGAGGAGCCTTGGTGCTGACCCTGGCATCAGGGAGGGTTGGCGCCTGGTCCAGGAGCATCCCGCATCAATCCCCACTTCCTAAAGGAGTGGGGAGAGGTGGGGAAGGTGGGGGCTCCCCTCTTACCTCACCATTTCAGCTCCAGTTCTGGCTCCAACCCTAAGCAGGTTGATCTTTTTTTCTGCAGCAAGGATAGGAACAGGCGACTGGAACCCAGGCTCCAGGGTCTTGGGGGGTCATAAGGAGTCCCTGGAGGGCCAGGAAATTCAGCTCTTGTGGGCTCCTGTTTCCTTCCCCAGGGCAGCCAGCAGTAGCACCATGTCTGCGAGTGGTGGGAAGATGGGACCGTCCCTCACCCAGGAGATCCTCAGCCACCTGGGCCTGGCCAGCAAGGTAGGGGCTGTTGGGATTTCAGAGATCACTTTTAATATCTCAGCTCGGGCTGTGAGAGGATGGGAGGCAGGAAAGTGGAGGACAGGCCCTGAGGTTATGCTGAGGTGGGGTAGGCAGCCTGGCTGTGGCCCTTGCCGACCACCCCGTGCTCCCACAGACTGCAGCGTGGGGGACCCTGGGCACCCTCAGGACCTTCCTGAACTTCAGCGTGGACAAGGATGCGCAGAGGCTACTGAGGGCCATTACTGGCCAAGGTGAGCCCCTTTCCCCCCGCACTTGAGGCTGCCTTTTACAGCCAATCTGTAGACCAAGGAGGAGCCAGGAAGGAGGAACTAGTGATGTTGGAGAAATGTTTGTGGAACGCCTTCATTCTTGTATGTCAGGCACCACAGTAGGTGTGTCAAACCCGTTCTCACAACACCCCTGTGAGGCAAGGCTTATTATTTCCATTTTCCAGATGAGGAAACTGGGGCTCAGGGAGATTAAGAGGCTTGCCCAAAGTCACTCAGCTCATAATGACAGAGGTGGTATTCTCATCTAGGTCAGCCGATCCCCGCAAATCATATTTTTTTACCACCACACCAGGCCACCTTTGCCTTGGTCTGGGTCAGATTTGCATGCTGTTTTGACAATTTATTTGCAACTTCTTTTGAGATAAAATGGAAGTGGGGGTGATATAGCCCCTGCTCCTTTCCTTCCTAGCCCTCTCCTGGAGTAGGGGCATCCCACTATGTAAAGACCCTGCTCATAGCACAGCCCTCATCTCGGTTCAGGCGTGGACCGCAGTGCCATTGTGGATGTGCTGACCAACCGGAGCAGAGAGCAAAGGCAGCTCATCTCACATGCCTTCCAGGAGCGCACCCAACAGGTAAGGCCATGCTGACCTCCCACAGCAGTGGACTGGGGTGAGAAATCCCCTGGAGGACTCGAGAGACAGCGACAGCCACTGAGGCCAGCCCCTGCTTCCTGGCTAAACAGGGCCTGAGATGAAAACCAGCCAAATCTTCCCAAACCTCCCCATGCTTCTGGAGCCCTTCCCCTCACCCCCGTGCCTCTGCTGTGGGGACCATTTCTTGTAGGACCTGCTGAAGTCCCTACAGGCAGCCCTTTCCGGCAACCTGGAGAGGATCGTGATGGCTCTGCTGCAGCCTGCAGCCCGGTTTGACGCCCAGGAATTGAGGACAGCTCTGAAGGTAGCAGGAGGGGAGACTTGCTGGGGTCTCTGGGGAAGGGAGAAGGCTGTCAGCCTTGCTTTTGCAAGATGAGAGTCCCCCTCTCGTCGTCCCATATTGTTACTTAGAAGGAGAAGCAGCCGATGTCTGCCACTGTCTGCCATCCTAATGACATGGCCAGTCGGAGAGTAGACTCCCAATTTCTTGTAGGCCTCAGATTCTGCGGTGGATGTGGCCATTGAAATTCTTGCCACTCGAACCCCACCCCAGCTGCAGGAGTGCCTGGCAGTCTACAAACACGGTAAGAATATGGAGGGAGGGGTCCCAGGTGCCGGAGAAGGGGCTGTAGGACAGTCCGCTCCTCTCCTGTACTCCCCATAGGTGAGCTATCTGGCAACCTGGCTGCCTAAGTTCTAGTCCCTTGGGGTCTTTCCTCTTTCCCCCACCAGTGCCTCAATCTCCCCAGAGGAGAGAGCCAGATGTGATCATTAAAAAAAGAGAAGCAGGCCAGGCGTGGTGATTCATGCCTATCATCCCAACACTTTGGGCGGCTGAGGTGGGTTTGTCGCTTGAGCCCAGGAGTTCAAGACCAGTCACAGGCAACATAGGAAAACCCCATCTGTGCCAAAAATTCAAAAAAACTAGCTGGTCACGGTGGTGCACGCCTGTCGTCCCAGCTACTCAGGAGGTTGAGGTGGGAGGATCACCCAAGCTTGGAAAGTTGAGGCTGCAGTGAGCTGAGATCATGCTACTGGCACTGCACGCCAGCCTGGGTGACAGGAGTGAGAGCATCTCTCTCTCTCCTCTCTCTCTCTCTGTCTCTCTCTCTCTTTCTCTCTCTCTCTCTCTCTCTCTCACACACACACACACACACACACAAATAAAGAGAGAGAAGCAATGATTAACCATCTTAATCTGGAGCTCCAAGGCAGATTCCAAAGTGACAGTCCCAAAGGTACTCATGTCACCTTCCCAGCCCCTTGCCGGTCCCTGCCATCACACCACATTCCAAGCTGAACCCAGCCGTGCTGCAGCCTGAGGGAAAGGTGGGAACCTGCCCTCTGAGTCATGGGTGTCACCTTTCATGCCCCTGATGGCTGGCCTTGCTTGGCTACAAATGTCTCACCCACTAATTTGTGGCTTTTTCCCATCCTCATCTTACCACCCCTTCCCCTACTCCCACTGCTTTTTCTTGCTTTCCCCAATTTTCCTTTGATGTCTAATCTCGGCCTTTGTTCTTCTTTTGAGACAAGGTCTTGCCCTATAGCCTAGGCTGTACAGTGATGTGATCATGGCTCACTGCAGCCTTGACCTTCCTGGGCTCAATCAATCCTTCCACCTCAGCCTACAGGTGTGCCACCACCATGCCCAGCTAATTTTTGTATTTTTTGTATAGATGGGGTTTCGCTGTGTTGTCGAGGCTGGTCTCGAACTTCTAGGCTTAAGCCATCTCCTGCCTCAGCCTCTGAAAGTGCTGGGATTACAGGCATGAGCCACCGCCCCGGCTGTGGCCTGTGTTCTTAATCCCTCTCCTACCTTCCTTCCTTCTTGCATCCGTTTCTCTTGTCTCCTTCCATTTCTCCCTTTCCTGCTCTTTTCCTTCCTCATAGCCCACCTCTCATATCATTTTTCCTTACCTCCAACAAGGGTGCCAGGTCCTAGCCATCTTGTGTTATAATACAGGTTTCCCTAGCTCTTCTTCACTGCCTGGCCCCAACTCTGATAATGATTGCGTCCTACCCAGCAGGTTGGTGCTTGGTGATGAAGCCACCGCACGCCTCACAACTTAGAGATGTTTTTAGAGTGGCCGTGATGGTACTTGTGCCTTACATCCTGGGAGCTAGCAGCCATCAAGCTACTCCAAGCAGGGGCTAGCAGGGCTAGCAGGGCATAGCGGGTCAGGCATTTGGCAGGTCCCGGGGATACCTACACTAGGGAAACTCAGGAAGATTCAGAGAGCTCCTCACCCCACCCCAGATTTCCAGGTGGAGGCTGTGGATGACATCACGTCTGAGACCAATGGCATCTTGCAGGACCTGCTCCTGGCCCTGGTCAAGGTGAGGAGGACTGACCTGCAAGGAAGGGAAGTCACATTCACCAGGCAAGGTGACACGCTGGAGCAGGGAGCATTGCTGTCCTATAATGGACAAGAGAGGACTTTAGGGGAGACCAGGCTTTGCTTGTTGGTCTGGAGATAAAAAGGTGCCCTTCGAAGAGCCCTCTAAGAACAGTTTCTCCTCCTAGGGGGGCCGTGACAGCTACTCTGGAATCATTGACTATAATCTGGCAGAACAAGATGTCCGGGTGAGCAGGGGGTTTAGGAGTGTACACAGCCGCCTTGCACGTAAGATGCCTTCCTCCACCGTATCTTAGAGCTGATGACCTACGTGTCCATTTGTCCTGCAAACCCATCCTTGCCTTGGAGAGGGAGTTCTCAGTTACGTGGTAGGGGCAGGAGGTGTCAAGTAGCGTCATAGCTGAAGCCTTTTCACTCATCTAGCCTCTGACTCCTGAACTCATCAACTGACAGATTCTTCTCTCATGAGCATTTGAGGGCACAAAGCCTCCTCAGACCTTTTGGGGATTATTTAATCCTTGGGTACCAGGATTTTTCCAAATCAGTGAACAGAGCTGTGAGGCTATAAGGGCAGACCCCTCTCTTAGCCCTATTTCTTTCTTAAAAAACATAAAATATATAAAAACAACTAGTAGGCCAGGCATGGTGGCTTATACCTGTAATCCCAGCACTTTGGGAGCCTGAACAGGAGGATCATTTGAGCCCAGGAGTCCAAGACCAGCCTAGGCAACATAGTGAGACTCTGTCTGCACAAGATATTTTTAAAAATTAGCTGCACCTGTAGTTCCAGCTAGCTAGGAGGCTGAGGTGGGAGGATCGCTTGAGCCTGGGAAGCTGAGGCTGAGGTGAGCCCTGGTCATGCCACTGCACTCCAGCTTGGGTGACAGAGAGAGACGCCATCTCTCTCTGTCTCTCTCTCTCTCTCTCTCTCTCTCACACACACACACACCCACCTAGTTTACGGGTTAAAATAAATTTTTTTTTTTTTTTTTTTATAGTGAAGACTGAGTCTCGAGCTGTCGCCCAGGCTGGAGTGCAGTGGCCGGATCTCAGCTCACTGCAAGCTCCACCTCCCGGGTTTACGCCATTCTCCTGCCTCAGCCTCCTGAGTAGCTGGGACTACAGATGCCCGCCACCTCACCTGGCTAGTTTTTTGTATTTTTTAGTAGAGACAGGGTTTCACTGTGTTAGCCAGGATGGTCTCGATCTCCTGACCTCGTGATCCGCCCATCTCAGCCTCCCAAAGTGCTGGGATTACAGGCTTGAGCCACCGCGCCCGGCCTTTTGTATTTTTTAGTAGAGATGGGGTTTCAACGTGTTAGGATGGTCTTGATCTCCTGACCTCGTGATCCACCCATCTCGGCCTCCCAAAGTGCTGGGATTACAGGCTTGAGCCACCGCGCCTGGCCTAAAATAACTTCTTCTGGCCGGTTGTGGTGGCTCACGCCTATAATCCCAACAATTTGGGAGGCCGAGACAGGAGGATCACTTGAGGTCAGGAGTTCGAAACCAGCCTAACCAACATGGCAATACCCCATCTCTGCTAAAAATACAAAAATTAGCCAGGCATGATGGTGGGCGCCTATAATTCTAGCTACTCGGGAGGCTGAGGCTGGAGAATCGCTTGAACCTGGGAGGCAGAGGTTGCGGTGAGCTGGGATCATACCATTACCCTCCAGTCTGGGTGACAGAATGAGACTCCATCTAAAAAAAAAATCCTTTTCCACCCTCAATCCCATTTCCATGATGATGATGATAGATTCTGGAACATAATACCCATGGCTCCCTAGGCCCCACCAATGATCCCGATTCACTCCTCCCTGACTCATTCCTCCCTCTCAGGCACTACAGCGGGCAGAAGGACCTAGCACAGAGGAGACATGGGTCCCACTCTTCACCCAGCGAAATCCTGAACACCTCATCCGAGGTACACACGAGCCTTCTTGTCCCCTAGCTTGCTCTAATGATGACTTTGGGTTTTGGAAGGTGTGGGGAGGGCCCATCCTTTCCAGTGATAATTAATCCCCCATCCATCTTTCTAACTGCCCCCCCCACACACAAGTGTTTGATCAGTACCAGCGGAGCACTGGGCAAGAGCTGGAGGAGGCTGTCCAGAACCATTTCCATGGAGATGCCCAGGCGGCTCTGCTCGGCCTAGGTAGGGGCCTGCTCAGGATTTGTGAAGTAAGTCTCTCTTGGGATGGGAGATTGTGGCCCTAGTTGTGAACCTCCATCCTTCTATCTTTGTTTCCAGCTTCAGTGATCAAGAACACACCACTGTACTTTGCTGACAAACTTCACCAAGCCCTCCAGGTGAGAGGGGCACTCCTTTCCCTCCCCAGAACAGAAACCGGGGAGGAGAGAGGAAGTCTCAGCTTGCGGCTAATGTAACCATCCTATATGCACCATCTAAACCTCAAGCCGCGCTCCTTCCCAGGGCTTACACACCAGGGCTTACACAGGGGTGGAGGAATGAGCTGCGGTGAGAACTAACTTAATTGAGGCCCTGAAACTAACATTTTGGCCTTGTTAATGTCTAGGTGGCCAAATAGAGATATGAATCTGCTCTGTAAGACAGTGCCTTGTCCAGGCATAGTTGTCGCCAGAGTGATGGTGATAACACTAGCAAGAAAAATGACAAGGGCTGGCATTTTGCGGGTGCTCTTTGTGTGCCACAGCCTATCCTGAGCAGGGCACACACATTTCGATTAATCCTCACAACCATATCCATCCATATCTTATAGATGAAAAAACTGAAGCCCAGAGAAGTTAAGTACCTTGCTCAAGGTCACATAGCTAGTAAGTCATATAGTCTCCCTACACAATACTTCACGATGTAAGACATCTCCGGCCTCTGTGTCCTAAGTAGCTGGGATTGCAGGCGTGTGCCACCACATCTGGCTAATTCTGAATTGTTTTTAAAAAGGAAAAACTCAGCCTCCCAAGTAACTGGGATTACAGGTGCCCACCACCACGCCTGGCTAATTTTTGTATTTTCAGTAGAGACAGGGTTTCACCATGTTGGCCAGGCTGGTCTCGAACTCATGACCTCAGGTCATCAACCCTTCTCGGCCTCCCAAAGTGCTAGGATTATAGGCGTGAGCCACTGCGCCTGGCCCATGTTATCCATACTTAAACTGCTGACTGTGGCTTGAGTGGTTCCACCAATAGAATCCAGTCATTCTGTTGACTGAATTAGGTCTCTTATTAGTAGAAGTGTCCCCCAAAATCTATAAATAAAAAGTTCAGGAAGGGCGCAGTGGCTTACGCCTATAATCCCAACACTTTGGGAGGCCAAAGTGGACTGATCACTTGAGGTCAGCAGTTTGAGACCAGCCTGGCCAACATGGTGAAACCTTGTCTCTACTAAAAATACAAAAATTACCTGGGCGTGGTAGTGTGTGCCTGTAATCCCAGCTACTCAGGAGACTGAGGCAGGAGAATCACTTGAACCCAGGAAGCAGAGGTTACAGTAAGCCGAGATTGCGCCACTGCACTCCAGCCTGGGCAACAAGAGCAAAACTCCATCTTAAAATAAATACATTAATTAATTAATTAATTAAAAAGTTCACTTAGAGAAAACATAAAATTCGAAGAGATAGGCTGGGCGCGGTGGCTCATGCCTGTAATCCCGGCATTTTGGGAGGCCGAGGCGGGCGGATCACGAGGTCAGGAGATTGAGACCATCCTGGCTAACACAGTGAAACCCTGTCTCTACTAAAAATAAAAAAATAAGCTGGGCATGGTAGTGGGCGCCTGTAGTCCCAGCTACTCGGGAGGCTGAGGCAGAAGAATGGTGTGAATCCGGGAGGCAGAGCTTGCAGTGAGCTGAGATCACGCCACTGCACTCCTGCCTGGGTGACAGAGCAAGACTCCGTCTCAAAAAAAAAAAAAAAAAAAAAAAAAAATTGAAGAGATAAAAGTAGTTATCATTGCCAGGTGCGGTGGCTCACACCTGTAATCCCAGCACTTTGGGAGGCCAAGGCAGGTGGATCACAAGGTCAAGAGTTCGAGATCAGCCTGGCCAACATGGTGAAACCCTGTCTCTACTAAAAATACAAAAATTAGCCAGGCGTGGTGGAGGGCACCTGTAATCCCAGCTACTTGGGAGACTGAGGCAAGAGAATTGCTTGAACCTGGGAGGCAGAGGTTGCAGTGAACTGAGATCATGCCACTGCACTCCAGCCTAGGTGACACAGTGAGACTAAAAAAGTAGTTATCATTTTGGCAGATGGAATAGCTTTCTGTAGACTGGTTGAGAAGCCATCATGCCATGTTGATGATTGCCCAAAAGTTAGTAAATATAAGCAATTGTTCTGTCATCCAGAGATTTCTATCTTGACAGTAGATTATTATACTTGCCCAATAAAGCCTATAAGATTCATTTGAAGAGTTGTAGTTATCTGTCCAAATTCCTGTCATAAATACAAACTATCCCAGCAGTAGATGATTTTGTATTGTATTTGGATTACAAGACCCACACTCCTGAGTGTAGGTGAAAGATTTATCTCAGAAGTAGTAGTCGGCGGGGCCAAGCATGGTGGCTCACGCTTGTAATCCTAGCACTTTGGGAGGCTAAGGTGGGAGGATCGCTTGAGGTTGGGAGTTCAAGACCAACTTAGCGACATAGCAAGACCTAGTCTCTACAAAAATAAAAAGAAAATTAGCCAGGCATAGTGGCATCTGCCTCTAGTCCCAACTACTCAGGAGGATGTGGTGGGAGGATTGCTTGAGCCCAGGAATTAGAAGTTACAGTGAGCTGTGATTATTCCACTACACTTCAGCCTGGGTGACAGAGCAAGATCCTGTCTCAAAAAAAAAAAAAAAAGAAGTGGTAGTCAGAAAATAACATAGGCCCATTTTTCTGATTTTTTTTTCTTTTTTTTGGAGACAGTCTGGCTCTGTCGCCTAGGCTGGAGTGCAGTGGCGTGATCTCGGCTCAAGGCAACCTTCACCTTCTGGGTTCAAGTGATTCTCCGGCCTCTGTGTCCTAAGTAGCTGGGATTACAGGCATGTGCCACCACATCTGGCTAATTCTGAATTGTTTTTAAAAAGGAAAAACCCAGGCCAGGCGCTGTGGCGCATGCCTGTAATCCCAGGACTTTGGTAGGCTGAGGCGGGTGGATTATTTGAGGCCAGGAGTTCAAGACCAGCCTGGCCAACATGGTGAAACCCCATCTCTACTAAAAATACAAAAATTAGCCAGGTGGTAGTGGTGAGCGCCTGTAATCTCAGCTGCTTGGGAGGCTGAGGCAAGGGAATCACTTGAGCCTGGGAGGCAGAGGTTGCGATGAGCCGAGATGACCCTACTGCTCTCCAGTCTGGGTGAAAAAGTGAGACCTGCCTCCAAAAAACAAACAGGCCAGGCACAGTGGCTCACACCTGTAATCCCAGCACTTTGGGAGGCCGAGGCGAGCGGATCACGAGGTCAGGAGATGGAGACCATCCTGGCTAACAAGGTGAAACCCCGTCTCTACTAAAAAATACAAAAAAATTAGCCGGGCGTGGTGGCCGGCGCCTGTAGTCCCAGCTACTCCGGAGGCTGAGGCAGGAGAATGGCCTGAGCCCAGGGGGCGGAGCTTGCAGTGAGCCCAGATAGCGCCATTGCACTCCAGCCTGGGCAACAGAGCAAGACTCCGTCTCGAATAAATAAATAAATAAACAAATAAAAAATAAATAAAAAAGGAAAAAATCATGATACATCTGTATTCTTCTTTTTTTTTTTTTTTTTTAGACTGAGTCTCATTCTGTTACCCAGGCTGGAGTGCAGTGGTGCAATCTCGGGTCACCGCAACCTCTGCCTCCCTAGTTCAAGAGATTCTTCTGCCTCGGCCTCCCGAGTAGCTGGGACCACAGGTGCCCACCACCACGCCTGGCTAATTTTTGTGTTTTTAGTAGAGACGGGGTTTCACCATGTTGGTCAGGATGGTCCTTAACTCCTGACTTCGTGATCCTCGCGCCTCAGCCTCCCAAAGTGCTGGGATTATAGGCGTGAAGCCACTTCGCCCGGCCTTCTTCTTCTTTTTCTTTTTTTTTTTTTTTTTCCTTTGAGATGGAGTTTCACTCTGTCACCAGGCTGGAGTGCAGTGGGGCGATCTCGGCTCACTGCAATCTTCACCTCCTGGGTTCAAGCAATTCTCCTGCCTCAGCCTCCCAAGTAGCTGGGACTATAGTTGCCTGCCACCACATCCGTCTGATTTTTTTATTTTTAGTAGAAACAGGGTTTCACCATGTTAGCCATGCTGGTAGCGAACTTTTTTTCTTTTTCTTCTTTTTTGAGAGGGAGCCTTGCTCAGTCACCCAGGCTGGAGTGCAAGGCATGATCTCGGCTCACTGCCACCTCTGCCTCCTGGGTTCCAGCAATTCTCTGCCTCAGCCTGCCGAGTAGCTGAGATTACAGGCGCCCACCACCACACCCGGCTAATTTTTATATTTTTAGTAGAGACGGGGTTTCACCATGTTGGCCAGGCTGGTCTCAAACTCCTGACCTCAGGTGATCCACCAGCCTCAGTATTCCAAAGTGCTGGGATTACAGGCGTGAGCCACCGCGCCCAGACTGTATTTTTCTTTTATGAGAGATATGTAGATATATGAAAACACAGATTGTGAAGAATAATCAGAAAAACGACCTTCAGAAAATCAGCAACTGATTCAGAACAAATTTTGACCAATCTGTAGTAAAAATTAATGTTCCCAGTGAAGATCCTGGGGCCATATGCAATGCCAGGTATATGATTAAGTATTATAATTAGGCCGGGCAAGGTGGCTCATGCCTGTAATCCCAGCACTTTGGGAGGCCAAGGCAGGTGAATCACCTGAGGTCAGGAGTTCGAGACCAGCCTGACCAACATGGTAAAACTCCGTCTCTACTAAATATACAAAAATTAGCCAGGTGTGGTGGCGTGCACCTGCATTCCCAGCTACTTGGGAGGCTGAGACAGGAGAATTGCTTGAACCTGGGAGGCAGAGGTTTCAGTGACCTGAGATTGTACTACTGCACCCCAGCCTGGGTGACAGAGTGAGACTCCATCTAAAAAAAAGATATATATATATATATTTAAGTCCAGGTGCGATGGCTCACACCTGTAATCCCAGCACTTTCGGAGGCTGAAGTGGGTGAGGTCAGGAGTTTGAGATCAGCCTGGCCAACATGGTGAAACCCCATCTGTACTAAAAATAAAAGAATTAGCTGGGTGTTTGGCACACGCTGTAGTCCCAGCTACTCGGGAGGCTGAGGCAGGAGACTCGCTTGAACCCGGGAGGGGGAGGTTGCAGTGAGCTGAAATCACGCCACTGCATTCCACTCTGGGTGACAGAGCGAGAAAAAAGAATACTTGTACAACAATGAGAGTATTCAGCTAATGAGTGACTCTTGCCCAGTTCTGTAACTTTAGAGTAACAAGCGTTGGAAGGAGAGAAGAATGGATACTGGGGAGCAACTGGCAATCTTTACGACAATACAAAACTAATGATGCATGAAAGTTAAAATGAAGTAGACATTAGGTCCACTGACAATTAGGTAATGAGTCTAAATGAATTGGAGCATCCTGTTTTACTTCATTTTTTTTTTTTTGTTTTATCAAAGGAGTTTATGATCTGTGGGGATGCCCAAAGTATGTGTTGTAGGCAGTTCTGGGAAGAGTCTTGTGAGTAAAGTGACTCAGGAAACTCTGAAAATGAGGATATTAGGAATTGATAACAACACTGGTGCACAGAAAAAAAAACAGGAATTTTACAATTAAAAGTTTTTATTTAGAAATCTCTCATAACAACACATTACTTAGTATAGTCCATTATAATTCAGGATTTTGGTGACTTGTACCTGTGTTATTTCTTTTTTTTTTTTTTTTTGGTTTTGAGACGGAGTCTCGCTCTGTCCCAGGCTGGAGTGCAGTGGTGGTTACTCTACTACAACCTCTGCCTCCCAGGTTCAAGCGATTCTCCTACCTCACCCTCCTGAGTAGCTGGGATTATAGGTGCCACCACACCCAGCTAATTTTTGTAGTTTTAGTAGAGACCATGTTGGTCAGGCTGGCCTCGAACTCCTGACCATAAATGATCTACTTGCCTTGGCTTCCCAAAGTTCTGGGATCACAGGAATGAGCCACCACACCTGGCCTGTTATTTCTCTTTTCTTTCTTTTTTTTTTTGTTTTTTGTTTTTGTTTTTGTTTTTGTTTTTTTGAGACAGAGTTTTGCTCTTCTTGCCCAGGCTGGAGTGCAATGGCACGATCTTGGCTCACTGCAACCTCTGCCTCGTGGGTTCAAGCGAGTCTCCTGCCTCAGCCTCCCAAGTAGCTGGGATTATAGATGTCCACCACCATACCCAGCTCCGGCTTATTTTTGTATTTTTAGTAGAGACGGGGTTTTACCATCTTGGTCAGGCTTGTCTCGAACTCCTGACCTCAGATGATCCACGCGCCACGGCCTCCCAAAGTGCTGGGATTACAGGCGTAAGCCACTGTGCCTGGCCTGTTATTTCCAAACTGAACCTTTCATTACTTTCTTTAGCCAAAAAACAGGCCTGCTGCATCCCAAGGGTCCAACTGGAGACACTAATATGCAGAGATGGGGCTGTGAGATGGCCCTATTGGGTTGGAATCAGAACCAGAAGTCACACAACCTTGTTCCCTATCACAGCCCCATCAGCTCAGTTTGGGGGTAGGGCAAGTATATCCTCCTTGGATATTCACTAACTTGAAAGTTAAAAGCAGTTTTCCTGGTTTTCATGCTGGCAGTCTTTACATGCACCAAATCTTTTCTAGCCTCCCTGAGATACCTATCTTTGGAGCTGCTCACCATCAAATTCTGGAGGTACACAGCTCTAAGCTAATGGTAGGGGCAGGAAAAACATGTAGAAGGAAATAAATACTCAAACTGCCCCCCATAGAGACTGATCTTTCCTGCTGTGTCATCTTCCATGAGGATGGACAAAGATAACTTTTGTCCCAAGATAATGTATAATGTACACTCTTACCCCTTGACTCCCACCTTGGCTCCACTTTCTGCAATAACCCTCCACGCCATTCAACCCCTACTCTCAGTGAGACTCTCACTAACCACCCCCCATCTGTTTCTTCCCCTACTAGGAAACTGAGCCCAATTACCAAGTCCTGATTCGCATCCTTATCTCTCGATGTGAGACCGACCTTCTGAGTATCAGAGCTGAGTTCAAGAAGAAATTTGGGAAGTCCCTCTACTCTTCTCTCCAGGTGAAACTTGGCTACTTCTTAGCCTGGAGCCCGAGTCCTTCACTCCTCACCTCCACCCTCACTCCCTGCACAGAGATGAGTATATTCTTGCCCCATAGAAAACCCAGTAGTCAGCCGTGGCTCACACCTGTAATCCCAGCACTTTGGGAGGCTGAGGCGGGCGGATCACGAGGTCATGAGTTCGAGACCAGCCTGACCAACATGGTGAAACCCAGTCTCTACTAAAAATACAAAAATTAGCCAGGCATAGTGGTGCGCACCTGTAATCCCAGCTACTCAGGAGGCTGAGGCAGGAGAGTCACTTGAACCCAAAAGGTGGAGGTTGCGGTGAGCCGAGATCGTGCCACTGCACTCCACCCTGGGCGACAGGGCGAGACTCCGTCTTAAAAAAAAAAATAAAATAAAATAAAACCCAGAAAAGAAAAGAAATGCAGTGCAGGACTCTGAGCTCCAGGAAGGACCCTTCCCTTCCAGATGAACTATGATGGACCAACCCAAAGGAGGGGAGAGAGTACTTGGGCCATAGTAGTGGTGGATCTTTCTAACACTGAATTCCCTTGTCTGCAGGATGCAGTGAAAGGGGATTGCCAGTCAGCCCTCCTGGCCTTGTGCAGGGCTGAAGACATGTGAGACTTCCCTGCCCCACCCCACATGACATCCGAGGATCTGAGATTTCCGTGTTTGGCTGAACGTGGGAGACCAGCTGGGCCTCCAAGTAGGATAACCCCTCACTGAGCACCACATGTTGTAGCTTCTTGTTGCGGTTGGAACTGTTTCTTTAAAATCCTTTGATTTTCCTCATCTCAAAATTATATCTGTACCTGGGTCATCCAGCTCCTTCTTGGGTGTGGGGAAATGAGTTTTCTTTGATAGTTTCTGCCTCACTCATCCCTCCTGTACCCTGGCCAGAACATCTCACTGATACTTGAATTCTTTTGGCAAACTTCACTGTTGTTTGTGTTCCCTGATTGAAGTTTGGGTGGAGCAGGACATGGACCTGGAAGAGGCGTTGGAGTTGGAGGTGCCTTTGATGTGCACTTGGCTATTCAGCAGGAGTCCTGTTTTGCCTTAGAGCTACAGTAATCAACTCCCACCCTCTCTATGTCTCCCCTCACCCTCATTCTCCAGGAAACTTCAGGCAAAATAATTGAGAAACAGGCACCAGAACAAGATGAGAAATGGTCAGGGGGAGCAAAGGACCATCTGTATGAACTGGGAAGCAAGCGGAGGGTCAAACTACCCTTCCCAGCTGGGAATTCTTGGGTTAGTGGAGAGTACAACCCTCAAATGCATGTGTCCAACCAGAGATTTGGAAACCCATCTCCCATGAGAGCACTATTTCCCATAGAAAACAAAAACGAAAACAGAAACAAAAACAGTCAGGCTTTGGTTCCCCCTGCCGGCTATATTAGAAATGACAGGTAGCTGGGCGCAGTGGCTCACGCATGTAATCCCAGCACTTTGGGAGGCCAAGGCGGGCGGATCACCTGAGGTCAGGAATTCAAGACCAGCCTGACCAACACAGCAAAACCCTGTCTCTACTAAAAATACAAAAATTAGCCGGGTACAGTGGGGCATGCCTGTAGTCCCAGCTGCTCAGGAGGCTGAGGCAGGAGAATTGCTTGAATCTGGGAAGTGGAGGTTGCAGTGAGCTGAGATTGCACCACTGCACTCCAGCCTGGGCAACAGAGACTCCATCTCAAAAGAATGGGAGGGGAGGGGAGGGGAGAGGAAAAGACAAGACAGGTAACCACCTTCCTGCCTCTGACCCACCTCCCGCTTTTTGCATTCTTCAATTGGGTCAAATACTTAACCCCATTGCTTCAGGCTAAGGCAAGCAACAGATCTCAGGAAAGAAGGTTTTTTTCTTTTTCTTTCTTTTCTTTTTTTTTTTTTTTTTTTTAGACAGAGTTTTGCTTGTCGCCCAGGCTGGAGTGCAGTGGTGCGATCTTGGCTCACCACAACTTTCGCCTCCCGGGTTCAAGTGATTCTCCTGCCTCAGCCTCCCAAGTAGCTGGGATTACAGGCACCCACCACCACGCTGAGCTAAGTTTTTGTATTTTTAGTAGAGATGGGGTTTCACCTTTTTGGGCAGGCTGGTCTCAAACTCCTAACCTCAGGTGATCCGCCCGCCTCAGTCTCTCAAACTGTTGAGATTACAGGCGTGAGCCACCGTGCCAGGCCAGAAGTTTTATTTCCAAACCCCAGGAAGGCATTACAAATAACAGAGATAGAAACCCAAATTAAGCTCTGAAACAACTGGAGACAGGCCTGCCTAGGTGATCAGGAGCATCCAGGCAGCAGGGATGGGAAGCAGGAGAAATGCATTCCAGATAGGGACCTCACCCCAGAGCCTTAGTCTGTATATACGTGTGACTATTCAGGGGCTGGAAGTTGAGAACCAGAAACCCACCAATCCTAATGTTGTCCTGGGTGGGAGGCAGAGAAGGCAGCAGCACGTGAGGTCAAGGACATTACCAAGTCTGACCCTGGCATTTGTCACCTGCTCTGATCCCCAATAGTCCATAAATAAGTTATCCAGCACATCTTAGGGATGGAGGCGGGGGAGCAAGCCAACTAGCCATAGCCTCTGGAAGGGGCAGGCCAGCCTGGCACTGGGGCAGAGCTACAGCAGAATGCAGTCTGACTCGTGCTTCGGCCTCTGCCGACGCTCCCCAGCTGGGCGTCCAGATGTGGCTCCTCTCCCCTGTATCGAATTTAACAATCGGTCACTGAACTTCCTTGGAAGCGCACAAGAAGAGATTCTAGAAGGAGGGGTGTCAGGATTGGGACAGGGAGTAGGGAGAGGAAGATAGGAAGGGTCTCCAGGGGAGAGGGACAGGCAGGGGAAGGGCCCTGAGAGAAGAAACCTTGAAGAGACCAGTGCAGGAATAATAGGTGTTCTGGACCCGGCAAAGCATGAGGTGGAAACCGGGAGTGTGGGCGCCCGGGCAGCAGCCCACCTGCGGTGACAGGGCCCGTGTCCGCGTCCACATTGGCTGCACTGCCTGCTGCTGTTGATACTCCTCTTGCTGAAGCTGCTGGGCCAGCTCCAAGTCGGTGAGCCCCAGCGTGCCTTGTGGCTGCTGCTGCTGCAGGGACAGAGCAACCAGGTAGTCCTGGGGAGAACAAGAGTTGTACAGTGGGCTGAGGCCCAGAGTTGTGGCTATTCAGGGGAGGTTTCCAAATCAGTTTTTCCACATCCCTCAAATTCTCTAGCTCTTTCTCCCTACGGAGCAGCAGACACAGCCAAATGCATTATCTGTGGTGCCAGAGAATACACACCAAGTGAGGAGACGATCTGAGGTAACCCAGAGAAAGAGGCATGGATTCACATGGCCTCTAGCGGTTAAAATGTATGTGGCAAAAAGCTCCCTGAGGCACATGTGCTCTCTGCACTTTTCCTAAGTGCCCTACACACCTGGTCTACCTGCAGCTGCTTTTCTGGGGAGCCACTCCCACCTTCTGCTCCAGGCCCCTTGCCCAGGGAATGACTCAGGTGAAAGTCGGAGTCACAAAAGCAGCTGTCTCCATCCACATTGTGCAGGCTCTCCCATACGACTTGCTCCTCGTGTAGAAAGCCCTGGTCAGTGACCAGTAGGTATAAGTGACTCTACAAAGAAAAGAACAGAGCTCACTGCGGGGACAGGTGATACAGAGGCAGTTCACTGCCAGAAATCTCTGTATGAGCATGTGGACCTTTTTTTTTTTTTTTGAGACAGAGTCTCGCTCTATCACCCAGGCTGGAGTGCAGTGGTGTGATCTCCGCTCACTGCAAGCTCCGCCTCCTGAGTTCACGCCATTCTCCTGTCTCAGCCTCCCGAGTAGCTGGGACTACAGGCACCCACTACCATGCCTGGCTAATTTTTTGTATTTTTTTAGTAGAGATGGGGTTTTACCATGTTAGGGAGGATGGTCTCGACCTCCTGACCTCGTGATCCGCCCTCCTCGGCCTCCCAAAGTGCTGGGATTACAGGCATGAGCCACCGCACCCAGCCCCTCAGCATGTGGACCTTTTATAAATATGTGTGGCCTTGGGGGGAAGGGATGTCTGAGTGTATGTCCAGTTGGGTGTGAGCACGGTCATTCTGGCCAAGCATGGCATGGAGTCGTTGGGGCTGAGATGCCACACAAGACCCTGCTCCCCCCATTTCCTGTTGTTCTCTGGGCTTGCCTGATGGCTCTTAGGATAAATCCTTTGAGAACCAGAGACCCCTTCCTCTGCTGCTCAAATCCTAGAGAACTTTGGCAGTTTCTAACTTTTGAAGACCAGCATTGTTCAAAACTTCCACTGCCCCCTCCTAGGCGAGGATCGGGCTTTCCTGTACCATCGATGGCAGGCTTATCCCTTATGGCTTGCTTGCTCTGGCCAGAAGATGTGAGCAGAAATGACATGTGTCATTTCCAAACAGAAGCTCTAAGCATGAATGCACAGTGCCCCCCTCTCTGTGTTCCCGCATATATTCCAGATAAAGGATCTTTTGTCAGCTGGGTCCCAGAGTGAAAATGGTATGGGACAGAACCATAGCCAGTTCACAGTGGACATGCACCAGGAGCGGGAAATGAACCTTTGTTGTGGTAAACCACAGGGATTTGACGGGTCACTTGCTACCACGGCTTAATCTAGCTGATCCCAGCTGGACCCATGAGAAAAAGACACCAGGAAATGACAGCACCGCAGCCCGCCGCCCTCAAACTCGCATTACCTTATGCTTAGTCATGGTGCTAAAGTGGTTGTTTCGGAAAAAGACACTAAGTTCATCCTCCTTAGCAGCTGCTGTCAGCTCACACAGTCCGTGGTAGGTCAGCTGGGCCGCGGTGGTCTCCAGGAACTGCTCTGCAATCAGGCCTGCCAGAGGGGACAAGTTGAGGGACACTTGGCTTGAATTCAAGGTCCACAACAGGAAGGACCATCCAGAGAGCCCCTGTCAAAAGCCCCGGGGGTCAGTCCCACCTTCTGACGTCCCTTTCTTGAAACCTGGCTGTATTCATTCACCTAACAAATACTTACAGAGCAGCTACCTCATGCCAGGCACTGGGGATACCCCAATGAACTAAACAGAAATTCCCCAAGCTCCTTCTTGTGAAGCTTATACCTAGTGGGATGTGGTGGGAGATGACACACAATAAAAAATAAGCCTAAGTAGCCATCATTCCCTCCACAGACTATTCATGAGAAGGGGAGGAATGTCACCTTCCGTCACGAGGTTGGTGTCACTGGAGTGTTTGCAGGTGATGACCTTCTCCACCAGCTGGTTGTAACTCAGTTTCCCAACTGCACGCACAGCCTCAGGACTCTGCTTGAGTAGTGGGATGGTAGGATACCAAAAAAATTGGGATATTTTTTTTTTAAGGAAGGAAATGAACAAAGCTCACAAGGTCTACAACCCTATGATGAATGGTTCCTAAACACTGTTTCTTTTTCGTCTCTCAAAAAAAAAAAAAAAAAAATTTCAGGAACCATTCATCATAGGATTGCTATGTTGCTTAGACTGGCCCCGAACTCCTCCCAAGTAGCTGGGAATACAGGCATGTATCACCAAACCCATCTGGTTCCTGAATTTTTGATGTCTAAAGAACTGACCTATTTGCATGTAGTTTGCTTGTATTTGCATGTTATCCCCAAAATTGGTTAAAATTCAAGGACTTCTGTACTGGGTCCAGTCTCCAAACCCTATTTCCCTCCCAAGCCATTCTAACCCCTAACTCCCTAACCTCTACCCCACAAAAATTTGCCTCTCTCATGTCAGCTTAAGCTGGATAAGGTCCCAGTGGGCCCTCCCACCCTCACCTGTGGATCAACAAGCCAGCCATGGTACAGAGGTATGTCTAGTAGGTCAAAGACACTGCACTCAGGTGTATACTCAAAATCAGAGACGCCTGTGAATCGCACATTGACATCCAGACCTGTGGCCAGTTTAGGCAGCACTGTTATTGCATCATCCACA